AGCCGCCGCCTCTCATTGGCTGCTCGGGCTGCCAATCATTGCACCAGCCAATCAGAGAGCGCGGCTCAGCCCCCCGCTCCTCAGGAGGGAGGAGGGAGCCAGCAGCACAGTGACATGGCCGCCGCCACAGCCCGGCTGCCCTGGGCCAGGGACTGCACCTGGCGGGGTTTTCCTCTTTGAAGCTGTACAAAGAGAGGCCTTGAAGAATCAATCGCAATCATCTGCATGTTAAACTTAAAAGTCAGCTCAGTTCCACTCATCTCCAGTGACAAAACACTTGACTTTCAATGTTACACCCACGTCAGGCAACAAACACGGTTTTTAACAGGGCAATGGTGGTTTTCTCACAGTTCTTGCTTTGCTGCCATTCCCGTGACTGGACTGCAGCTGTGTGGCCAGATTATCCTAAGAAAAAGCCTTCCACAGAGGGTTACACTATTCATTATTTCATTAGCATGCAGAAGATGCAGCAAAATCAAAACCCTCATTCCTCAAAGTCATGATGGATGCGCAGCAGTAAATCCCAGCAACGTTTTGAAGGGTTTTATGTACGCAGAGTCCTTGATTGCCTTTGGTAATACAGAAGGAATAATACTGCACAATTAAAAAAATACGGGGGGGAAAAAAAGAGAAAAATTTAAAATCAAAAGCAATCCTCCCTGTGCACACAGACACCACTTTTTTTTCAATTATTTTTTTTTTTTAATTTCGGAAGGACCTTGAGTTTAATTAGTCAGCTCACATTAGCTTCCTTTTCAATCAGGGCACCAGGCACGTGGCCGGGGTTAAGCCACCCGCCCCGCGGCACCATCCCCTCTCCCAACCTCGCCGGATTAAGCTCTTACATTAGGCACCTCCGTGAAGTGTCTAAAGTTAGGCTGGATGAATGTGAGCCAAGCTGTTGAACAGATGGAGTGAAATCCTCCTCTTGATAACAGGAACTTCACAGCACTGCCACGGATAAGAAGGGCAGCTAAAAAAAGTGAGGGAGGTGGTTATATAAATTTCAAGAAGGCTTACCAGCAATGCTTAAAGGTAAAACTTTCTGATAGATCTTGAATATCCACTTGTAGCTGCAGACCCTGAGCAGCCAAGAAGTTCTGCAACAAAAATGAGATGGTAACACTAGAGCTACCACACTACGAGGCCACAGGGACTTCATGATGCAGCACAAACATGCAAAGCACGAGGAAGCTGGAGTCTGGAGCACACGAGACTCCAAACCCAGCACCAGCAGAGCAGCACTTATCTTGAGTTCAGTGCACAAAACCAGCTGAGAGGCACATGTGAACAGAAAGGGAACTGACTACCAAATAACCACCTTATTAATGCCAAAAATGCTACCAAATATGCTCATTCCTTTTTGCTTACAGGTCTGTAAAACACTCGCGCTTATAGCAGCTCTGACTCAATCTCATTTGATTTTCTTTTTTTTTTTTTACCTTGCTTATTTATAGTCTCGAACATCTGCAATTTCAATCTTCCTCATCTTAAAAATTACCTGCTTCCTTGTGTTTCACATGTAATTGCACTTCAAAAGGTGTGCATCTCAATGCAGGAGCCATTTTTCTTAATTAGCTGAAGATATTTTAGATGGAGTCAGATGTGAAATACACTGGTGATACTTATTTTTGAGCATCAAAATCCTTCAGGTAGATATCTAAAATAATTCATAATGACTGGAAACTGGCTATATAATACTTCTTATAAAATACTTCGAAGCAATTAGTTTTTGTTATGTATGTTCCATGTCCATTCTAAAACGGGGAGTATTGCTGCATGCAATTTTGGGGTAATGTTTACTGAGAGAGCGGGAGAGATCTGAACAATAAAGCAACTTTTCCCCTCCCTTTAAGTACCTCATTTTTGGAGGAAAGAGGAAACTATACCATTTCCCAGTCCCTTTAGGGAAGATAAATGGATGAAGTGCTTTGGGCTTGAGTTGCTCCTTCTTCCCCCCTTTGCTCCCCTTTCCCATATTTACCTTCAAACTTTCTCCAAAAGTTGGAATTACTGAGAAATTGCAGAAGCTGAAGCTACCCAGGGATGCACCTCTGTGAAAGACAAAGCGGCAAGGACTACGCACAACCTTAAAACGCCATTCTCCTGAAAGCAAAAGTATGGTTAGAGAAGTGACAGCGTGATAACAGCCGCCTAAGAGCAGGGCTGCTTTCGGAGTCACCTTTAGTCATTTTGGTGACAAAAATACATTTTTACTCCTTGTTATCTCTGAAGAACACACACAGGTAGGGGAGCCTGCACTGCACTGTGACCCAATTAGTGCAGCCACCCAGTCGCACAGCCAAACCCATGTTCAGCCAGGACTAGAAGATCCTAGCGAAGGTGACGTGAATGACACTTGACCCCCCAGAATTTGTTAACTGATGATGATGAGCAGAGCTAGCCTACATTTATTCTGCAGATCCAAGCAGATTTTGGAGGGCCATGGGAAAAAAAAAAATGTTCTAAATTGGACATGTTTGAGAAATACTGAGTCACAAGCCTCAAGCTGCACAAGGTCATTTTTGCAGTTTCTTTTCTCAAAGCAAACCCTACATTTTATTACATAAAGCAGTGTTGGCAACACTAAGAATATGCAGTCTTTTTTAGCAAAGCCCTTTGCAGCATGACTATAGTCTTAAGAGAAGCTTGCAGATGCTACTGCTTCTACTTGATGCAGAGAATTAGTTTTCTATTGCAAAATATTTAATTAATTTCCTGTTAAAATTAAATGAAACAACAAAATAGTTATACAATTTTACTAGTTTATATTTCAATTCATAAAGTATACACACTGCAACTATGCTACCACAATGTCCACGCATCTAATATTGATGGAGTTACAGTATATATTTTTTTTTTTGGTATTAAACAATAGAGATAACGTATGCAGTTAAGGAAAAAAGCTTGGACATAGCATGTTCTATTCTGTAGTTACAGAGTACATTAGCTAGCATTAGTACAGTAAACAAGAAAAAAGTAGAAATACAAAATAAACCAAGTATCTTTATATACAAACCAGTGCCTCTTATTTTTACCAGCTTATACTCACACTGCACACAAAATTTATCCACTGATGCAATAGATACTTCAGCATAACACAAACCATTATAAATTAAAAAAAAAATTACAAGGTGCAAAACTCCATTCTACAGCTTTCTGGTGAGAACTCAAGACAATCCAATGAATAAGAAATCCAAGCACGTTTAGCACCTATTAGTGCAACTGCATCGAGCGTGAAAAATGACCCACACAACGTCTGACCGTGTTACCAGGGAAGCCAGTTGGGTAGCTAGCGATGCTCGCAGCTACACTCACGCAGTGATTTTTCGCCTCATATATATCTCAGTTTATTGTTTCTTTGTCCCATTCATACCTATGTGCAAAACTAAATCCTGGAAGCTTTCTCAGAGCTTCACAGAAGGCCTGCTACAGCCGGGTAAAAACAAACAAACAAAACCAAAACAAAAAACCTGACAAAAAAACAGACAAAAAGACTCAATTAAATGTCAGACTATCCACATAATTAGTACTTATTAGCAGTCCTGGTGTTGGGGATTTTAACGCTGTTGATATGTGGATCGAACAATATGACACAGAAGTGAAACGGAAATTTGCCAAGAATTCTGATTCTTCTTGTCTAGCACTTCAGACAAGTGTCCCAGCCTCAGGTTGTGAATTTGTTTGGCAGCCCATGCCAAAAAAGCCCAGAGTTGCATAGAATTGATTAGTAACAGAAAGAAATGCCAAACACAGAGAGATGGATGCTGCATCTACTAAAACAAAGTGGGGTTGCTCGACAGGAATGCTGAAATCATCCCCATTCATAAAGCAAAACATGTCACCTCCTACTCTCCATATCCTACCTCTGGGGACTGCTTTCTGGCACTGATGTAGTTCTTGTCTTTTTTGTTGTTGTTTTTTTTCTTTTTTTTCCTTTTTTTTTCCTTTTTTCTTCTTTTTTTTTTTTTACTTTGTTAGTGACACTTTTCCTTTCAAATAAAATATTAAAAAAGGTTATAACTGTAAAAAAACCTATCATATGTAAACTTAACAATTAGGGTTTGGTAAGTTCTCGTACCTAGTCTGTGAAAAGCCTCCAGCCAGACCGCAGAATGGAGTGTTTCTCTGAAGAGCTTCAATCTAGCTACGTCACCTGTTAAATATCAGTAGTATGAAGATCCCATGTCTAACAATAAAACCTTCCTTGTGTTTCCATCCTCCTTATCACTGACTTACTGAAATCCTGACATGCTGTGTTTCTATTTTATTTACATTCTGGTCCTCTCATGTCACCGATTAAACATCTGGCCAAGGAAGGCAACAAAAGGTGTTGTGTTTAAGAAGGTGTGTTTGACAGAACTGCTTTTCAACAAGTCTCTTTTCCTTGGACTCCAGTCACTGTTTTTATAGAGCTTATTGTTCTGTTGAACCATGTTTTCTTCGCAGCTTGTACTTCATTCAACGCCAGACCCAAATGGTGCTCCAAGTCCTGCAAACGGAAGAGTAATTTAATTAATTTATGTATTCACAGCACAAGGTGATATGAGTTAAACTTAGAAGGCTCTAGGACATCTACAAGCTCTTGGCCAAACCAGTCTTACATAAATTAAAAGTAGCACAACAAGATGATGAAGGAAAAAAAAAAAAAAAAGCTTTGAAAAGCAAAACAAGACTCGTGTCATTGCCCTTAGTGAAACACTCAGCTTGCTTTAGTACATCCAAACCCTTTAATTCTTTCTCATCTGAGAAGAAGCTATTCCCACAGGAAGTGGACTTGCTACAAACTAAATTTTACATTTCTATGAGCTGAACATACAAGTTTTAGGCTAAAAGAACTACGCTGTCATATTTTGCACAAATACCTCAAATACCTGGAGTGCTTTCCAATCGTGTTTAAGAAACGTGTCTAACATTTGTCACATGTTACTTCTTCATTTAACATTGATTGTGAGATAAAGAAATGCATGATTCAGTACTTTGTCAGAGCCTGGATTTCTTCCAAGAAGTTGCAGAAGATCAGTCAGTAAGCACTGCACTGCAGCCAGGCAGATGTCTGGAAGTTGTAGTAAATACAGTTCATGCCATTTCCATTATTCTGTCTGCGTACGCTACGTTTCAGACCCGATGTTTGGTTAAATAACCCATACAGGAAATACCAGGTTATGGTTTCAACCAACAGGATCTGCTCCAATCCCTCTACAACACACACATTTTTCTAGGAACACAGACATAACGTACAGACTACAAAATGAACCTCCAAAGCATTACCTGTATTTTACATTCTGCCTCCACAAGCTGCAGCTTGGTCTGGGCCAGCTCAAGCTCCATTTCCCTCAGCTGGTTTTTCAGCGTTTCCTTCTCCTCATCTGTGTCCTCATCTGAACCGTCCTTGGCAGAACTAGCCACCTTCACACGGCCTTCTTTATTGAAGAACTCCCGGCAATGCTCACAGTCATCCACTTTTTGCTAAAGTAAACACCTGATCGTGAACGCTTGCATTGAAGTGCTGGTGGTATGATCAAAGCCTTTGCCTACCTCTGCTCTGGAAGAGCAGCACAACACGAGAGGGACCACTAATGACTTGTAAACTCAGGAACTTTTGGGGAAGCACAGCCAAGGAGGAACTCCAGTCACCCCCAGATTTATGGGCTCTGGGAAACTCTGAGGTATTTTTGGTGAAAGAGTATTGCTACAATAACGGGCTCTGTACTGCCTACACGTTACTTCATGATAACAGACAGTCAGAGAAATCTCCTCCAGAAGAAAAAAAGAAGACACCCCCCAAAAATTAACAGTTATTATTGCCCAGCATCAACATTAATATGTAACCAATATAGCACGGGAGAGAGCTGACAGTTAATCATCTCTTCTCCAAGATCTCCCCCTTATAATCTTCTTTCCAAAACTGTACGTCACTAAGGAACTCTCTTCCAGCCACCATTTTAGCAAGGAAATAAGCTGTGCACTTTTTGTTCTGATGTTGCTAAGACTGTGGATCTATCCGGTCTCTTACCCGTATTTTCTCAATTTCAGCTTTATTTGCCGTTTGTTGCTTTTCCAGTCGCTCACTCAGCTGGGAACAAATCTGAAAAGCCAAATTATGTTATCAGGCTATTTATAAATGTAAGTTTCCTCCCAAATGAATGCTAAACCACAAATGAGGAACATTAACATGGATAGTCTGAGGGCTCTGAGACAGCCAGGAAAATTGGGATGCTGCATTTAGTTGTCTCACTGTACATATTCTCATTCTCTACATATTCTTCTTGCCCAAACGAAAAGGTGCTATTTCAACATAAGTTATTAACAGTTTGACCCTGCTAAAGGAGCCACCAAAGGTTAGGAACAGCATGGCTCCTTTTCTTGTCTTCAGGATAAAAGAACCAGGCAGGACAGCCAGAACAGTAAAAAAAAAAAAAACCCCAGTTAATTCCTCGAGACCTGTGTGATGTGGAGTTAAGAATGTTTTGAGGGTTATGGGCCCACTAGATACAGGAATTTGATCCCTTGATACCTTATGATCAGGAGCTTGAATTCCAAAGCAAAATCTCTGAAAGGAAAAAGGCATCTTTTTTATTTCCTAAGTGCAGTTACCATTTGACTGAAGGAAGGAAGCTTTTTTTGGAATGAGATGAACCTTTGATATACAAGAGCTCATTTGAACAACGTTAGGCTGTAACTGAAGCTGTGCTGGCTGATGACCTACAAATACCTACATCAGGGGCAAACAGAACTGACCAGGAAGCATCAGGATCTCAGCAACAGAAAATGCAAAACCAACCACAAGCTTCTCATTTAAAACAGCTAAAATGTCACAGATTACACCTATTTCCAGAAATCTCCTGCAATACCTGAGAAAGTCTCGCAATTTGAAAGCGAACCACATCTTAAATTGTTGTACTTACCTGTTTGTAGTCACCAATAATAGAGCTGTTCTTCTTGATCTCTGACTCTGCCTTATCTAGTTCCCTACGACACATTTCCTTCAGCTGCAGGGGGAAAAAGAAAAAAAGAAAGGGGAGGGTTTATATGTTTGTACAGTCTGAAAAATAACCAGGTGGTATTTCCTCCTCCTTAACCTCACTGCTACACTGCTATACTCTACACCAGGGAAGCACTGTCTAGCTCTGCTCCATGCAGACAAAGAAAAGCTGGACTTTGGTGGCCACCACTGTTAGAAAAATTGACTAGCTAAGAGAAGAAATTATTAGGGCCAGTAAATTGATGAAGGGTTTAGAGAGGAAGCCGTACAAGGAGAGGCTGAAGTCACTTGGTTTGTTCAGCCTGGAGAAGAGGAGACTGAGAGGAGATCTCATTGTGGTCTAGAACTTCCTCCCAAGGGGAAGAGGAGGGGCAGACGCTGATCTCTTCTCTCTGGCCACCAACGAATGCCAGGAGCAGAGGACATGGCAGGAAGATGTGGCAGGGGAGGGTGAGGTTGGCCATGAGGAAAAGGTTCTTGAGGCAGAGGGTGGTGGAGCCCTGGAACAGGCTCCCCAGGGAGGTGCTCATGGCACCAAGCCTGACAAGATTCCAGCAGCATCTGGCCAAGGCCCTCAGGGACATGGTCTAAATTTTGGGATTGTCCTGTGCAGGGACAGGAGTTGGACTGGATGATCCTTGCGGGTCCCTTCCAGCTCACAACGTTTGATGATTCTATGGTTAAAAAAGAAGTACTGACAGCTGAAGTCCTACACTGCCTCTCTGAGCAGCAATCTCCGGCACAGTCTGTGCCTTCATGATTTCAAGTTAAAAAGGTACTACCCTATGAAGCACCTGGCAGCAAAGCAAAGGATTCTGCTTTGTTGATGTCCTTCACACTACAGAAGAGGGACAAACATGACTTAGAACACTAAGCCCTTCCCACACTTGTCATGTGTTTTGGTTTTGTTTGTTTTTTTTTTTTAATTTCCTTACTGCTCAGAAATGTGAAAATAACATAAATGCCCCTAACCTGAGCTGATTCTTCTTCTAGGCGCCTCTTTTCTTCTTCTGCATCAATCAGCTTCTGTTTGGTCATTAGCAGTTCCTTATTCAGAGCATCTGCCTTTTCCTCCGCCTGAAACACAGAGTGGAGCACAGCACTGAAGAGAGGCTTTCTTGCTGGGCAGCCACGGAGACAGGCTCCAGCAGGACACAGCCAAGACAGCAGTCTTTTCATCCCTGTTAATAAGAGTCTGTTAATTGTTATTAATAACAATAAAATTATTTTTCTAAAAATTACCATCTGCAATGGCAAAAGAGCAACAAATCGAAACCCAGAAAATACTGTAACAAAAAACTTGGCTGCTAAAGCAAACCTAAAAGTCAGACCCCTCTCTCCTTTCCTCCTTAAAGAAAAGAGATGTCCCACCAGAAACCATACAATTCTTTTTACTGCAGTTTTTTTTAAGAATAAAGATGTATTGTTGAAAAATCTTGGGCTCTTTAAAAACCACTGAAAACTCTCTCTGCAAAGTTAAGACACCTTTTCCTGTCTTACATGCAGCAACACAGTCCTTTCCAATAGGTGTATGAATTCTACATAAAAATAGATCAAAAACCTCAACTGATGGACAAAATTTTCAGAAAGTAGCTGTACCAATTCCCTTCAAAGGAAGAAAATCAAAAAGTGAATTTGAGTCCCTTAAAGTCCTGCTGATCCTTTAAAACAGACAGCAAAGGCAGAGAGAACATCTTTTCTTTATACATGTTTTTTAAGCTGTTTTAAAGTTAAAGAAAACTGGGATGTGGGAGTCCAACAACAGTAGAAAAATGAAGCCTATTTTTTGGTCTAGTGCAAAGGATATTAAGGAAATTCTTGTATTTCCAAATGTTTTGCTTTGATCTTTTAGGCTGTAAGATCTCAGACATGCCATAAAGGTATTAGAAAAGGTGGGTTAAACAATGTGCTTTGGTACTTTTCTTTCAGGACTAGTAGAATGAAAATTATCATTTCAGGATCCAATCAGAAGAATTAATCAGGGCCCTAAAATAGGATCAAACCCACCTACCTCCTCCTGGGGGATAACCCAAATGCTGCCAACATCACGTACCCTCTCTGAAGGCATGACTATTCTATATCCAACGAAGTATCGCAAAGATTGCGCTTAATTTTGTCCCTCTCAGCTCTCCATTTAAACAAATCAATGTAAAAGCATAAACTGTGCCTCGTGCAGGCTCAAGCAGCCACAAACAACACTTAATAGCTGATAGAAAAAGCTTCTTCAGTACGTTTTTTGCTGGAGTTCACCCCCTGAGCAGCCTGTGTAGCCTTCTGCGAGCTGTCTTTAATGATGTGAAAAAGTGTACACAACAGGAAGAGGACGTAGCGATGCCCTGTGAAAACCCTGCTTCTAGAAAGTACTTCTATGATCCATAGATTTTAACACTAAAGAGCAGTAGATGTAACAAACCTGAAAGTCATAAACCAAACCTCATTAAGAGCAGCATTCACCCATTAGCATCAACATTGACAATCGATATTTTTCCAACAGCAAGTTTCCAGGAGACCGTGGGAAACTTTAAATTCTCTGAAGCAGATAAGCTGAAACATTTTCAAGCCTGTCAACTCCTGCACTGTCTGGTTTTTAGAAGTAATTTTCCTTTGAGATTTCAGAAATGCACTTATCTTGGTACAGAACAAGAATGGCAAAACATGGGCACGTGAATTCTTCCCCTCACCTCCCCAAGCAGACAGACTAAATGCATTCTAGCCTACCACGTGCGCTACAAATGCCAGTATCTTTCTGTTTCTACATGTCCTGTAAAAAAAAAGAGCATATGCTAATAAAATCTCACAAACTTGAGTAAAGGAGGGAATGGGACAGCAAGCTTAAAAAAAAAAATAAAATCCTATAACACAAAGCTAACCTGAAGTTTCCTCCCAAGAGCTCTACTGATATGGGAAACAACCCAGGATGGTGAGTTCACATGGGCAGATCTCAACAAGCCAAATGGAAACCACAGTAACATTTCTGGGGTTGCCTAAGGTACCTGAGAACGATTCCACTGAGAGCCAGACAGACTCAGACTTTCAAGTTTATTAGGCACTGTCTGCTGTGAAATCTTATTCATTAGAATACCAGTTGAAAAAAAAACAGAATACAGCATCCATGTTATTATCTCTCTGAACTCAAAGACCTGACTTAGCTCCTGCTAGACTTTCTTTTAATATATGTAGAGAAGAAAGCAACTACTCAAGGACAGGCTCAGAACCTCTCTTCCCCTCAAATTACTCTGAATGCTTTTCAGAATAGTTAGTTTTTCAGTCACCAGTCCTGCTTCCTGTGGACCTCTGACACAGGCCTATGTATCACCAGTCTGCAATAAGGACATGGCAGGAAGAACCTCATCCCACCCAAATAAAATATACTCTATGTATTTCCTCTCCAACCAGAGGAGTAGTGAGGAATTAGCCCTAGTGCCTTGTCTCCACTAGACAGCAGAAAGTCATGTCTTACATTGTCTAAATCTTTCCGCAGAGCAATCTTGCTGGTCACCAGTTCGTGTGCAAGATCATCATTTTCTTGCTCCAGTCTCATGTTTGCTTCTTGTAGGCGCCGGTTCTCACGCTGTAAAACAAAAGAAATAAAGAAAAAGGTCTTCCCAAGTGTTTGGCTAAGTACAAATGCCTACCTTATGTCCTAAGCATGCAAAGACAACTCTACCTGCATGAAATTCAATGAGGACAAAACTAGCTAGACATATCGTAAAGACTAATTAAGTAAATAAAGCATTAGCTTTGAGAAGAAATCACATATGAATAACTGCTCAGCTATTACTTGCTGAGCTACAGAAATGATTTTGAAGAATCCAATAGTAGGGGTGTCACTCTGCTATCGGTTCCTACAAGTACTGATTTTCTTGGCTCAAAATAGAATTTGCATGCTGGAAATAGGCAAGAGAGGAGGATCTTGGGAAAACTATTCTATTTTCTCCTGTTACAACTCCCAGCACACAGACAGATATCAAAGAAAGTTTACATAGAACTCTTCAGCTTAAAATATATAAATTCACATATATATGTGTGTGTTATGTGTATGCATAATTTTTATATACAATATATTCCTATGTTATATTCATTTGATAAATAAATTATTTATCAAATTATATACTTACTGTACCATACATCATTTGAAATTAGGGAGAGGAGTGAAGGCAGGATTATAATCAGTGGAAAGCAGAGTTAGAATCAATTAGGCATTTTCTTTCTGTGCAAGGCTTTTGGTGCAATCAGCTCGTTATGCAAATGCTAGAAATGGGCTCCAGCAAAACAGTTGTATCAGCCCAAATATAAATTCATACTGTTCCTTTTTTCATTGTGAAACTGAGCTCACAACAACCCCATCCTTAGTAAGATAGCCAATATATAGAGATTCACTTCATGTTCATGTAGCCAATTCCCCTGTATCCAAATTGGTCGCAAAACAAAACCAGCTCAAAGAAAAAGGAGTCAAAGTAGGAACCTTCTGCAGGTACCGTGTGTTAAATCAGACTGAAGTAGGTAAGCGTTACCTCAGATCTCTCTATAGGATCCTCCTGTTGTGCTTGCTGCTCTCTCATGGTATGATATTCCTTTTCATATTTCTTCAGCTTCTTCTGGCTAATCTAAATTAAAGCAGCCCATTAGTTCCTGCCCAGAACATCAATAAAAGAACACAATTCACAAAGGGTTATGGTACAAGCTTTACCAACTCCTGCCTTCTACAGAACACGACTAATACCTTCACTCAACTTTGAGTATCAAACCCTTAGACATGGTCAAAAATGCTGCACCACTCAGTATAATGACAGAAGTATCCCTTCCTTTATCCTTCTGGAACACAGAAAAGTTTTTGAAAGGCATCCCCAGGAGCATCCAGCCCGAGTTTTCCTTGGTGCTGTGCAGCTATTTGATGCTCCAAATACTCCAGTGGCTTAGCATAGCAGATTGCCTCAGAGCCTACAAGATGTGTTTAATTTTTGAACTACCACGATGCTGAGGTTTCTTCAGCTGCTTTTTCAGCTGATGATGCAGAAGTGTTTGGTTTACTTTACATGAGACTGCAAATGCTGAAAGGGCAAGTGCAGGCTCAGCTGACATTTCTGCCAGTGTCACTCAAGCTCAGGAGAAAACAGTCCAGTCCCAGAGTTGGTCTGAGGGGCAACAACTCCGATGCACATACGCTCTGGCCCCTAATGCAATGGGATTGGGAAAGCTGGAATTCTGTCCTCAGCTCTGACAGACACACAACACTAGGAAAGGGACTCAGGGTCCCAGTTTCCCCTTCCATGAGAAGGGAGAGAAAGGTGGTGCTGAATTCAGTATTTTGTGCACAGTGTTCAAGTCCTACAGGGACAGAGAACAGAAGAGAGGAAGAGAACCCACCCCAGGAGGGTCCTTCCTGGTGTCACCTGTGCCACGTGCTACATGGGTTTAGCAACACAGACCATGCCAAGGCTTCTGTGAGCATTTCACATGCAAGTCAGCATGCATCTGAATTAAACCTCTAGTATTAAAAGGTGCTGCTGAATCTTTACCAGTATTTCAGTAAACCAAATAAATTAAAAAGCTATGGGTATGTTTTCCTCCTCAAAAAAGCCTTCTCTGAGAAACATGTTAAACAAATTTTACCTGCAAAAATGACAGGCAGAATGAAAAACATGTTTAGTTTCTCTTATCTTTGGTTTTATCATTAACAACCTTAGTGGAAATGAGCAGGAGAAAAGTGGTAGCTAGGCTCCCTCTAGTGCGGGCTGCATGGAAACATTTCGCTGTACTTCAGCTGACATCTTTTTGGAGATGCCAGCCCATTTATCTGGAGTCAGTCCAGCCACATCACAACTGCACGAGTTATTCTTACTAAGCACTCCGGACAAACACGCAGAGTATTAACCCTTTACTGACCACGAAACCAGTAACTTCAGCTGATTATTTCACCGCTCTGCCCCTGCTGAAATGCTGCCCACATTGTTGGGTTTCATACACCAAAGCTCAAGCTGTATAAAGGTTAGATCTTGAGAAGTGAGGCATCCAGTCATGTGAGAGGGAAGGAAGGCACACCATTGTATTTCCATCTTCTACTTTTCCAAGTGTTTTAAACTAGTTTTGCCTCTCAATAACAATAATGAGGTGATCCTGAAATGATTACTGTTGTGTCACTGATTCTGGACACTGGAGTCCTAGAGGGAACTGTGCCCTGCAGAAGCCAGCGAGGCCTTTGGGTCTGCAGCAATAGAAAGCAGAAATGAACACTGAAGTCCCACCACAGTTTTCCAGGGGCATGGGAGGCAGCAGTAACTCAGTTAACATTTGACTGTAACATTGAGGAGTGACTTTAAGAATCTAGTGTTGTCTCAAGCTGATCATTTACTGACCTTCTTTCCAGCAGAATGCTGTTGCAATCACAATGCCTCAGCCAGGCTGCTTCTCCCTTCCTATAAATGATTTATTTTGACATCAGGACCTTTTCTGCTCAAAAACACTTCCAGATACAGAGCTGGAAGATTTCTCCTGACAGCAAAGGACTTGTATTTTAGGTCAAAGAAGGCAATTATGTGCAGCACTCCCATCAGGGGCAACACACATGGATGCGATACAGGAGTGTTCAGCATCCGTGCAGAGCTCAGCAGTGCAGTCTGTACTCTCTCCATAACCTTCCACTTAATCCCCCCAAAACACACAGCACTCCAGGAAGCAGTGGACAACCTTGCTGTGTACTGCTCAGAGAAGATTGTTTGCTTTATCTACTTCACACAGCACTGGGAACGCAGGGAATTTTGGCAGAGTGGGAAGAGGAACAAGTTGTTATTGGGAAGCATGAAAGGCAAATGCATTCATTACACATGATCTTAACCAGATGCACGTGCAGCGTCTGATCTGTGGCTCATATTAAAAGGTTGGAGAGCTAAATAGCTTACTTGATTCTTGATTATTCCATAATTTCTACACTAGTTTCATATAAAATATGCTTGGAACTCAATGCAGAACACTGTTATGCATACTGCTACTGCACCAGGAGTACGAGATGCCCTGAATGTTGTTATCACATCCTGGCAGTTGTTATCACCACATCTTTACCTTCATATTACACGCTAATTCCATCAGCTTTTTTGCGTTTTCTTCCGAGCGATATCTCTTGGGCAGTTGTACACGGAAGAATTTTAATGCCCCTTCAAAGTCTGTCAGTAACAAATCATCCTTGGTAGTCTAGAGGCAAGAAAAGGAAAAACCAGTAACTGCAAAGCAGATTTTGTACAATTACTGAATTCCCAGAGACAATAAAGCAACAACAGTTTTGTAAAGCTCCAAAAATACCTTTTAACATTCTGCAAATAGTGTTTGTTTATATTTCTCCAACCCTCTATTTCCCTGCCACCCCACCCCAAAAAGCACTGTGCTGTACAGGGCACGCCAGACAACAGCACATGTAATAGATGAAGTTGGTAGCTTTTTTTTTTTTTAAAAAAAAAGCATAATATTTTTGTAACAGGCATCTTATTTTATATTGTGCATGATGATGCATAAACCACAATGTAACATTTGATACTCACTTTTAATAATCCCAGTGCAACATTAAAGATAACACTTATTCCCTGGAGAGAAAAATAATGACAAAATAAATTAATTTCTCAGTATTTACAAGCCTGGATATTAATTTATTTAGTGGATTTTGTTCTCTAGTTTCTTTGAAAAGAACTAGGATACAAGTATAACCAGGTGCTATATTAAATCAAAGGCCCAGAGAATGACTCTGCAAACAATTTGGAAAGTATCTTTACTGGGTAGCCATTATAGACAGCAAAACAATGTTTCAGCACAGGTTTTACTATCTTAGCAGTCTGAAACTCTGACATGATGAAGGCACTGTTGTGTACTTTAGTTTAGTTTTAAATGATTGTTGGTCAGCTCAAGGTAATTTCATTTTCATATAGTAACTTCTAAAAACACTGGATTCAAATGCAGCGATATATACATCAATATATTAAGTTCTGGTATTAAAAAATTGGGATAATTCATGTAATGAAAAATAAAGTGACTCACTAGGACAGAGTCCCACGTCATCTATTTTGCCACTACTTGTTAGAAGTGTTTTATTTCTATTGCCCAATTAAATACAGTCTCTATAGTCAGTAGTAGCACACACTTAAGGGGTATCTTTGATAATCAAGACACATTGCTCATCTTATTTCAAGATCCTGTCTTTCTTTTTCCCACTAAATTATTCTTTCACTCTTACTTTAAAATTATTTTTTTAAAAACCTTAAAACTTTGCTATGAACACATTTACTATTTAGGAATTGAAAATGTGTTTCTAAACAAATAAAACTGATTTTCTTGATACCATCTGTTGCTTTCTATTACATTGGCACACGGACAAAGCAAGCGGCAGACAGACACAAAGAAAGGGTGAAAACATTGACCAGGAGGTTTATGAATGCTGAAACCCTTCAGTAAAGGAAACGGAGACAAACTGTCACTTCACAGTAACAACTGCAGATCGAATGAAGAATGGATGCATAATGGTAACCAGTGAGTAAAAAAGCAAATCATTAAATAAACTCAAGGAGGCTTCAGTACAAAATGTGATTTGCCCACTTATGTTAATAATCTCTGACTCAAATTGCACTGCTCACTAGCATACTACCAAATATACCATTCTAAACATGATTACATACAAAATCTCAACGTAAAGAATTTTGCTCTCTAAATATATGTTGTAAAGTATAAAGAGACTGCATGTTTCCATGAGGAAGAGCTCTAAGCTTGTTAGATTACCAGCATGGGAGTTGCGTGGGCAATTTTAGATGTAATGGCCTCCATGCAATAATATTCTAGATAAAAATAAGTTCTCATCGCACATAATACAATTTAACTACAGAGGAATCCACATCTTTGTAAATTAACTCTAATCCCATGAGCACTGTAGAGAATCTCACACAGATTCAACAGTGTTATAAGAAATAGGATATTACAATCTTTTATACAGATATTGACTCCTAATTTATACGTTTAAAATGCTGAGAACTCTTTTTTGTTGCAGAAACGTAACACTTTCACATAAAAATAATTATCACATTAGAATAATTGATAGAAACAAGATAGTGAGAAACTGTCAAAAGCTGCTAGCGATACAAATCTCCAACTGTAACACCTACCTCACATAAGAGTAAGTCAATAATATGGAAGACCATGTAGAGAGGGAATTTTGCAGTGAACAGGGTGAGGAACCACTGGGAAGCATACATGTGTGCTTCAAGGCTGATGTCCAGAAAGTGGTTATACAGATCAGGAATGTATTCCTAATAATAAAAAACACATAAATAATGAAAGTTAATTTAACTATTTCAGAACTGTAGCTGAAATCCCAAAGTAACAGAGGTAACAGTAACACTCAGTGCAGCAAGGGAGGCTTCTGTGTCCACCCATGCCTGACAAGAGAGCTGCCTGACATGCTAAAGGACTTCTTCTAAGGAAGGACTTCTTCTAAGACCAGCTGAAGGCTGGTCTCAAGTCAACATTTCCTACTCTTAAAAAACCTCCAATATGGACAGTCCTCACTCTTCAGCCTTACTAAGAGCTCACAAACACTATTCATGTACAAGATAAATTGCTGGTTTTGAATTGCAGGCTCTGAGCCGTTCACTTCACTCCAGTTTGAACACCTACCTGCATGAGGCGCTCCAGCTGATAGAACTTGCAGTGCAAATCTTCAAAGTTTTGTTTGAAAAGTTCCCTGAGTCCATAATCAAACATGATTTTGACCAGAACACTGAAAGCTTGCTCCTCAGGCATCTGTGAGAGAGGAATGTGTATTTATCACAGAGCATTTCATTCTTTCATATCAGTTCCATCTGCCCTTACCTCCCTTCTCCTCCCTCCTACAGAAAGGCCAAGTTGTCACTACTTTTTAATCTGGCCCTATCCAGTTTAAAAGTAAACAAGAATATTAACACACAAAATGAGGTGTTGCAAACGGCATTTCATTCTTATTCTGTGGAATAAATCACCTCTCGATTGCCCAACTACAAATACATCTTCCAGACATCAAGACCAAAGCAGTTTCTTGGTGTCCTTGTTCCAAATCATGTCAGAAGCAGAATCTTACAGATTTTGAACAGCCTAACCCCTTGCCACCTATGTAACTAAGACAGAAGCAGTATTACTAGAGGATGTGAAACAGGATTTTTCCCTTATTCTTAACAGTATATTTACCTTTTTAAATGAAATTACTACATTGGATGTTTATTAGATGGCATGAATAAGAGAGATCAGTAACTGCTAACAATAGTTCCATATATCACAAGTCAGCATTGGTTTGGGAAAGTTCAACATCCCTTTCCTGCCAAAAAACTGAAGAAACACTCATCATGGCTTGTGAGCATTTAGATATTCTTCCTTGATACCAAAATTCAGTTTTCATATTTCCATAGTAAAGACTGACTTCAGGTCAATCACTTGTTCCTGTACAGGACAGAAAGTCCATCTCAAGTATTAATCTGCACATGAAGTTTGTTAAAACTGAAAATTTGCTGAGACATTCCAAACTGGTAGGGAAGGACTCACAGAAACTTGATTTCCTTTTCTGCAACGTTTTTTTTTAATATTTATTTTTCCCAGCAGCAAAACTCCAAAAGCTGACTTCGAAGAGAATCAAATAAAAAGAAACTTATCTGAAATTTATCCATTTAAAATGCATCCACTATTCCCAGAAGCAACAGCTATTGTTAAAGGAGGAACTGGAGTAACACATGGCTCATTCTTGACAGCGAGTCTCTCTAATGCAATGGCTATTAGAAATGGACATATGACAACGAAACAGCTCAGAGAAAGCACGTATGTTTCAGGAAGTGTTCAGTTCTCCTATCGGGAAGTATCACCCTTCTTGATCTGATTCAGTGTAGTAATAAAGAATTAATTGCTCAACAAGTAAATCTTTCAGAGTACAGTTACAAAGAACTAAGAGGTTGTTATCATTAATCATTTGGCTTTTGTTTCAAAAGAATGGAGTTTACAATCTCTTTTATATCCTCCACTGACTTTACAACATTGTGGAAAATACTCCACTGAAGAGCAGACTTCCTCTTCCACTGAAAACTGCAGAGAAGTCTTCATACTTAGCTCTCTCTGGTAGCAACAATCACAAAAAAGCAGCTGGGGAAAAGAAATCTCAAAACACTGCTGTGCTTAGGAACTCTGCTCAGTTTCAGCTACCCATGCTCGCAATAGAAACACTGATAAAAAGCAGACATTGCTTTAAAAAAGAACTGTCTATAAATATTTCGTACAGATTTCTAATCTCTCGTATTTCCTAAGCACAAGTGATTCTAAATCCTTTGCTTCTGATATACAGTAACCATAAAACTCTCTAGCTTCTGAACATGCAAGCAATTAAAGGATATTATTCTGATGAGAACACTTCTACCGACAATTAAGTTTAAAAAAAATTATAGTTCAGTATCTTTTAAGAAAAAATTAAAATATTACTGTATCCTTCACTAACCTCTAAAACCAACAGACACAAAGGCCTACAGTGCAATTGCCCATATAGGCAGTATATTGTTCAAAGCACCGAGACATAAACTGACATCCCATCAATGTCAGAAATACACTTCTGTGTATAAAAGACATCTGGCAATCACCATCCATATTTCTGACTGATTCCAACAGAAACATCTTCTAAAATGCCTGCAACCCTACTAGTTCAGGAATTACCAACATTTGTTCTAGGCAAGTGGAGCAACATTTATTCTTAAGCTTAAAAAAAACAGGGCAAAAAACCACCACTTACATGTAGAAGCAGCACAGCAGCAAGAAACGACTGGCCTTGACAGTAGCCAATCTCTTCATCATAGACAGAGTAGGCCTAGAAAAAGAATCAAGACTTTAAGAGCTTATCTGTCTTGAACGACAAACACAAAGAAAACAAAACACTGCATTGAACACAGCTCCATAAAATTCTCACAGGGTGCATCAGCTGCCATTCCAACGAAGGGATATCCTTGATGAAAACCAGGCTGTGATGTACAGTGGCAGTGGCTGGCTACAGTGATGCACCAAGACCACTGCAGCCTATTAAATCACTTATCTGGCTGCTTTTACCTCTAAACAGGTGCTACAGGGATGTGAGGAAGAGGGAGAAACACTAGGAACACAAAAGAAAGAGTGCTGGAAGTTTAAAACATTCCAGTTGAGGTAACTGAATATAACAACAAGCTGTCCATTTTTGTTAATTTCTTCCTTTTAGTGTGCAGCTCCAGTGGTGCCTATGGCTTTGTAACACTTATGAGAGGTACATTGTTATCTCCAGTTTTAAAGACAACTATGTATGACAACAGCAGCTCACAGCGTACCTTACACATAAAGAACACACCCAACACCAGCACATTTCTTCTTCAAGAGGCAACATCAGTGTGATTTCCTGCATGTGTCCCTAACTTTGCCAGCACAACTTAGACAATACTGACAAGAAGGGAGCGTGCTGCAGCCAAAGGCGAGCTGCTCTTGATCAGGATGAAATTAGCCCTCACCTCCATCACACCTTGATCCAGGCTGACATTTCTGGAATCACATGAAGTCTCTGTACCAAATACCTTAGTATTCAGGAATCCAGAAGGGCTTATTTCTTTAGGTCTCCTGTCTGAAAGGCACTACAACCAGCTAAATGCCTACAATGAAGAACCAGACTGAGTCTAGTGCCAGAGTCTGTCTCTGTGACACAGTTATCTGAGAAGAATGTGTATGTATTACAGTTAACAGTTGCATCTGTTACCAAAATCAATCAAGAAGAATTTAAAGAGTACCTTGCATATTTTGTACAGGGAGTCCTGGCCATCTCCCCCAGTATCTTTAAAATAATCATGAGCAGGGAACGTTCGATTGATGTCTCGGGTGATAGCACTGTCTTGTGGAGACTCCTATCAGAAAACAAAAATAAAATTGTAAATTAAAACACATCCAAAGGATATAAATGACAATATGCTAGGACTGAGAGTTAGGAGATTGACAGTGTGTTCTGTGCACTGTTCTAAATTCAACAAAACACAGTCTACTCAACCAGAACAGACTGCCTGCAGGCTGGCAGCTCCAGATCACAATCTTGATAGATTTGGTTACCTAAGCACATCTGGGAACGGTCAGTGAGTGGCAGAAAAAGCACACACAGAGAAGTGTTCTAGGACGTTGCAATGCAGACAGCAATCTCCTTGCAATCTCCCTCCCTTGGAGACTTCTGAACGTGAATGCTGCCCAGTCACATTTCTTTTATCTCACAACTGCAGAGTAACAGTCAATTGTAAGCAGCTGCAGGCTGCTGCCCAAAATCCTGTCCCTCAGTTTCACCTAGAGAAACTTCTCTTCATCCTCTCCACAGAATTAGACAATAGAAAAGAATAAAACTGAGTATGAGCCCAGGAAAGACAGCATCGTGGAGTAAAACATCATGTAATACAGGGACATTGCCTGTATGAGCTGAGCATTTCAGCATGAGGAAGATGAAACTTCATTCCCTAAATTGCTCTGATGCAATCAGTTTCAGATGCCTCAGACATTTGGGAAGCTGAACAATAACAAATAGCATACAATTAAGAAAACCAGTAAATGTGAACAATGGACTGAAAAGACCAACTGGAAGAAACACCAAGCAAGTCTCCATCAAGGGCAAGTCCTACACAAAAGGCAGTGAAAACTCATGGTAGAGACAAAAGGAATTTGACAAAGCATAACAATCAAACACAGTAATCAGTAAAAGGGAAAATTAGGGCCTTTTCCTCCCGACTTTTATCTGGGAGATTTAAACACCAAACAATCTCCATGAAATTAGCTGGCAATAGTGGCCTCAAATAGCCCACCCTACGAGGAATTGTCAGTATTGCTGGGGATGGCTTAGAAGAAATCCTGGTCCTACCTTGGAGAAGTATTCTGAAAAAAGGTTTCCAGAACATGGAAGGAAAGGGTTTGTGTAAAGCACATCATGAGAAGCCATAAGCATTTGTGAAAAAATATCCAATTTAACCTAATTTACCCTGTGCAACAGATTTACATTCTGAATCGGAAAATAAGCAGGTGCCATTCCCACACTGAGGTCTTCTCCAGTCTGTCAATATTAGACACACAGCAGAGCAAGATGTTCTGAGTCACCTCATTCAGTTCAGTCTGAAACTGTTTCTAGTGTAGTCACTTAAGCCAGAGCTCACAGCACTGCAAGGAAAAGTATCCTTTGAAAATGGAAACAACCACTCCAATAGCAAATGAAGTAGTTTCCTTATTTAGGAAGCCAATGGAAACAGATCATACACATCATACGTTCTTTTTTAACACAGAAAACATTAACAATAAGAAATATATATTTTAGAAGCACACCAAACAGTGACACAAATGCAAAAATTACTAACTGGGCACATAGAAAACAGGTGTCAAAAGATTTCATGCAGTTCCAAAACCTTTACTTTACAAGGAGTATTTATGTGAATTGGAGGATTAAGCAGCTTCTCCTGTGTGGATGGAAATGGGTTGCTGAAAGAGGCTGTAAATTCTCTGTCATCACAGGTGTTCAAGGCTCAACTCAACAGGGCTGTGAGCAAGCTGATCTAGTCAGACTTGCTTTGAGCAGAGGGTTGGACTAGACGACCTCCAGAAGACCCCTCCAACCCAAGTTATTCTATGAGTAGCATACAACAGAAATCACTCACTCAAGCTGCCTTTAACACACTTCATTTACCCAGCACATGACAGGCAATTTTAGTGTCTTTCGAATCTCAAATTGTGCTCACCATATTGAGTTAAAAAAATTTGAGTTGACCTATACCATTTCAGAACTATTTCTATAATTTTATGCCATACTTTGTGACTTCTGATTAATCAGATTTTAGATTTTGTATGGACGTGCCTCACCACAATGTCTTGTACCTTTTGAGGCAGTGATGCCAGCTGTTATCTAGCTGATTACTATAACCATTGCTAGTAGCCAAATTGCTAAAAGAAAACAGAAACAAAAGCCCTCTGTTTGTCTGTAGATATTTCACTTTGCCTACAAGTGGCCCCTCTTTTCAATATTTAAAAGATGACTTTCCTGGCAGCTGATGAGAGCAAAAGCTCCTTGGTAGTGGGAACCATCTGAAAAGACACCACAATAATCATTAAGCAACCGCTGTTAGTGAAAGGGTCAAAGGTTCCCTGGTGAGGTGGCTTCTCTGGCAATGACTGAACACAAATGAAAAAGCCAGTCAAGTCTTCTTCCCATGCGGGATCACCATGTAACAGTGCCCAAGTTAACACTGCAGACATGCAAGCTGCTCTGTGGAAGCAAAACAGAAGAGATGTTTTATTTTTAAAAGAGTTTCCCTGTATCCAAATAACCCATGTTTCTGTGAGACAAACAGAAAAAAGGTTAGAAGTAAAACAGACACTAAAAAGTACAGGATGTAATCAGTGTGAAGATCATTACATACAGCTTTTAGTTGATCTTTTTCTTCACAAAATGATTTTGCAAACAAGAACAAAATTACCACAGCATGCTTGATTTTCTCTTCTGATTTTAATCCAAAGTTAATGCTCCTCTCTGTGGCTTAACACAGCCATTTCATTAGGAAAGCATTGCACTGCTATTAGAATCAAGTTACTGGATTGTTTTGGAAATCATATCAAAACTACTGCTCATCATTCCAATTTGATAATAATTAACATGCCAAAGAGGTCCGTCTCATTATAAGGAAATAAGAAAAAAAATCCAATGCTAAATACATAAATTCATATAAATATAAACCTTTTAAGTCAACAAAGGCAAGTAAGATAACGGCTGGCTGTTAGCTTTCAGTTTTGCAAGTAGAAAAAGACAATGCTCAGAAATAAACCTGGAAACTTTTCAGCATGTGACTGCAGTCTTTAGGGACAACTTTCAGTTTCTTTCACGATTGCAAGACTGAATTACAGTGAAGTACTCTGCTTTGCAGGAGCACAGGTACCATCACTGCCAACAGCAATCTGTGGTACCAAACAAGTGGGTTTCCTGAGTGGTGCTTGTGTTCTGCTGCAACGGCAAAACAATCTTAAATCCACTTGCTTTTTAATCCACTTATTTAATAGCAGAGACCAAAGCATCTGGTTGGAAACTCTTCTCAAACAAATCACTCATTATGGCTAAAGAAAACTAATTAGCGGTCTCTCTCTGGCTTTGCGTGACTTGTTCAGCACTTGACTCCTATGTTGCAGCACAATTCTCCAAGTAATCTGTAACATTAGTTCCTGCAGCTGAAACACAGCTCAGGGAGAGAAAAATTAACGGAAATGATAAGGTTTAAAAAATGTTTTTTCAAACTACGGCTTTGAAATCTCCCCATTAGTACAAACTGCTGCAATCCAAGTATTGTGTAACCTTTTCTTTACTCCTATTTTTATACCTTGCTGTGAGAATTGGCTCAATGGGCAATTTCTCATGCTTTCAGGGGACTGGGAACTGAAGGAAACCCTTCTGAACCCACACCCTTCACAAACTGGGATTGAAAAATAGAAAGCTAAGAATGACAGGAAGAAAAAGAAAGTAATAAAGAAAACAAAATGGAAAACAACCATGAGAACCGAGGCAAGTGTAGTGAAGATTAGAATTCTCACAACAGTTCACTGCTCTAAAGGAAAGCAGGAAAATGTAGATGCTCAGACTAAGAACATACCCTTCCTCCCCCTCTTTTAGGCACCTTAAAATATTAGGGGAGTTATACTGAAACCTTCCTCTCCAGTTGATTTAAAAAGAAACTATGTGAGTAATTATGGAAACCAAGATGCAGTCCATCAGATAAAAGCTCATCTATTGTATCAGCCTTGTCTATAAAAGCATTTTGGTTCCCACCTCCTGAACTGGACACTTTAAAAGACATTTTCCTTGTATTTTTGTGACCTTCCAAGGACCATCCCAGGATGTGCAAACCGTATCATGCAGGTACAGCCTCGATCAGCGTCTTCAGACTGAGACTGTCTCACTTCAGAAGACTTTTCTGTAGCTTAAGCCAAGAGCTGGAGTTCCTAGTACCTCTTCATATGGCTGATCTACTTGCAGATTTCAGCAGCACAGGTTTATTCCTCCTAATCCCCTAGATAAACCCAAGAGGATGAAGAAGCAGCAGCAAAGAGTTGCTGAAGATCTGTGATGAAAAAAACTGAAATAAGAAATCTCCAGAGAAGCAGAGGAAGCTGCCTGCTGGAAAAGGCTTGTCACCCAAAGATCAACTCTTGTCACAGCAGGCTACCGGAGAAATCCGATGGCGGCATAAAACTTAAAGCCTTTACCTACACACAGCTTGACTTAAAAAATGACATAAAAATGGGAAAATGTTGATTTTTAGACTCCCTCTTGCCCCCACCCCCAGAATGATTCAAACTATGGAAGTGTGCTCACTGGGGTGAGTTACCTGACACATCCACCACAGAAACCAAACTCTGCCTGACTCTCAGTCTTGCCACAATGGGATTGACTTTCACATGGCAATTATTTCTTAGGAAGGTGCCACTGACTTTGCAAGGATTTTGCCATGTGGTCAGAGATTACTGTGAGAAGGGTCTAGAGACTCAATTATCAGCTGCTTTGCCCAGGGGCAGATCAGCACATGGCATGCTGGTGCAAGGAACCTCTGTGCAAGGCACGGACAAGCCATTCAAGGGAGCACCAAGCCAGCTGAGAGCTTTCAGCACTTGCAACAAGCAGAAAAAGACAAAACTCTCTTCAACTTTCATGGGCAGCAACAAGGGTAACATTATACGATAGAGATAAGTTATTTTGAGTAGATTTGTACATTTTAAGTACATCCAAAAGTATTAGAAGGTCTTTCAAAAGCTATTTGCAGTGTTAGGAGGATACCGTGTCACCAGGTCTGTTTCGCAGGTTGATGGCATTCCCAGGTTTACTTTTAATAAGCAACATCCACACTGACTTTCACACAAAGTGCATTTCCTGCATTTCTCTTCGACCAAACCACTGTGAGAAGGTTTCAGTAAGAATTACACCTGTTCCCAAGACCTTGAGGAAATACCACAACAGCCACTTCCCCAAGCAACGTACTCGTTAACCTCTGACGAGAAACGCTGCCCAAAGAACGTGTTACCTGGAGTCAGCACTGACCGAGAACATTCACCGACAAACAGTGTTTGTGGGAAAAACCTGAGTAATTTAGACAAATTGGGAATGGTTAGACAGCTGCAATTTGATACAATAGTGCATTGATACAGCATATTTTCAGTCCAAATATGGCAATATAGTGCAATTCTAAAAATAAAAGTGAATCCCTTGTGATATCCAGCCCTTTTGCTGTGTTCGTTTCCTTTTAGGGCTCAAGTTTCCCACAGGAAAATTACAGAAAGGAGTTTGCCTACAGTGCCCTACATCATGTATGGATAAAAGCATCAACACAAAACGCGTGCTGGAAGCTTTTCCTGCTCTTGGCAATTACGTACAAACCAGACTATTTAGAGCAACCAAGATAAGAGGAAAAAATCCCACCCGCTCCCAAACGAACACACCTTTATCAGCACAGTTACATAAAAGTCATCCGAGACAAGACATGAAAACATGTGACGTTATCATTTATTTCTTAAATGTATTTATGATCCATTCAGACCTTTCAAATAAAGTGTACAAGTGCATTTCAGAATAAAAAACTACACTCTTCACACAGCTCTGTAGAACACTACATTTCATCAAGAAACTTGAAGCAAAAACTTCCTATTAAACCACCCATGCATCCTTTGGCTACAATAATATCACTGATCAACAAGTACTGCTATTCAATTCTGAGTTTCCCTTTAAAGAGAAGGAGCATCCTAAAATATGCTACCCCTTCCAGAGACCTCTCTTTAAAGAGAGAATATTAAATAAATTAGCTAGGCTTTTAGGCAAAACAGTAAGGCTACGGAGTACTGTTGATGCATGATCCATATATTTGGAAAACAGGCAATCCTAGGCTATGTGAAACGCGCCAACAGCCCTTGAAATTTGAGTAGTATCAAGATAACATCAATCCAGAACAAATGGCAGACAGAAACGTAACCAGTGGAACAATCACTGAAAAATGTGCAGTTTCTCTT